AAAAAAAAAAAAAAAAAAAAGAAGCTTTTCATATAAACAATTATATTTCATTATAACATTCTATTTTGTATAAACAATTAAATATTTCAGTATAAATTATTTAAATAATAAATTCACTCTACATAAACATTTCCAAAATACATAGATTCAATTCAATAAGTGCTCAATTTGTAAGAATGAGCAAATTAAAGATCTGCATTTCATAGAAATAAGAGAAAATGTAACTCGGTAAAGCTTCGTTGAGCAATAAGAACCTGCAAGAGTCCTTTCTGAAAATACCTCAGTTCAGTTTTAAAGCTGAGCCCTTGAAACTATAGGGCCAATGCACTAGAACTATCAAAGCACATTTAATTTTATTGAATGTATTGGTTAATTGTCCCAGACCACAAAACATGTATTATTCTTATAACAGTGATTAAAAACGTCTCTGCAGTCCTAAAATTTATACACAAAAGTAGGCCAGAGTTTTAATCTATGAATCAGAACGGAAATACCTTATGTATTATCATTACATAAAAAAATTCAAGAGCATTCAGTTATGTATTTAGAAAACAGTTTGTCTATTTAATTAGACTCCCCTTTTGACACATAGAAAAGTGGGAAATTATCTTGCCTATAAAAAAATCCCTTTGGTTTCAAAATGTATAGCATATCATACAGTGCTGAGCGTACTGAATTTTTGCTTAGAAGGGTGTTTGTAAATTGGCCCACTAATACATAGAGTTTAAAGCAAAACAACACAAAAAATTTGATTCTCATTTCATTTTTATTTACAGAAACAAAATTAATGTAATATCCCATTCATTAGCCTTTTATTCTTCATTTATTATACTTGATACATGCAGATATATACCCTGGCCCACTTAGATTTAATTTACTTCTATATCTTATCTACATTTCTCATTTGAGAAAAAATTCTCTCACTAAAGTAATTGCTTTAAAAAACATAGACAAAGTGACACTTAAGAAGTGCATGCCAAAGATGACTTCTTTTAAATGAACTCTGCACTAGTAATTACAAGGAGTTGTCCTCTGGAATTTTTCTGAGCCACTTCATGCACCTATTTCTAGGTAAAAGTTTTAAAGTAAAAATTAGAGAAAAGCATAGTGAAATAACTTAAATCCAAGTCTCCTGCAATATCTCCAGTCATCCTGGAAGTGGGTGCAGGTCCATATGGGTCAACCCTTAAAGAAAACTAATGACTCAAGGAAACGCTTGCCAGATATGACTGCAAGTATTCCAAGACAAGCAAAAATTTCCTGCAGCATTAAAAAGTGCATTAGTCAAGACATCAAAATGAGTCCAAAAATTATATCAGTTCATAAACATAAAACACATTTAATATGCAACTGTCTTCTTTCCCTCTTTGATATACAATATCAAAATATACCATTGAAATTGTTTATTCTTTTGGAAAAAAGACAAGAGTGGTCTCTTGTAATTAACCAGAATATGTCTTAGTCTTAAAGCTAGTGATTAAGAAACACAATCTCCAACCTGAAGCAGTTAACTAAAGCATGATAAAAATTGTCACGTTCAAAAAGAAACATATATGCATACCATACAAAGGTTAAAAAAAAAAAAAAGCAGCTATTTGTGGTTAGGTACTTTTAACTGTTTAAATTTCGTTCTACGCCTTTTCTCCCAGCACTGGGAATCCTCTGTTGTACAGTCTGCCTCCCTTCGGCTGAGAAAGCCGCTTCCCTTCTTCATGCTCACAACGAATGCCCCAGCCTCGATGATTATGTCTCTCCGTTGTTTTTCACTACGCAATGCCATCAGTGAAGGATTGCCACCATCCCAGTGGCAAAATGCAGAGCCTGGGGGTGGGAGAGCTGATATTTACAGCATTTATCAGAAGTTCTGGTATTTACAGAGTGCAAGCTTTTCTAATTGCAACTTGGTTACCTAAAAAAGAAGGCCCTAACAACTGAAATACTGTAAATACGCAATGCAGAAAAAATGTAAATGCTTCCTTTCTGACATATGGTACAGTATATTATTTTATAAAATACGGCATAAACTATTTACATAAAACATAAATATAGCTTATCAAAAATGCCAGCCTCAGAGCTAGTCAAGAGACGAGCATGCTAAAGAAAATGAAAAGTTTAAGAGAAGAGCTATCGAGCGACATCGCCCTTGTCTTTCTCCCCGCCCTCCGATTGACACTGACCTAGTAGATTAGTGTTAAATGAAGCAAGATTTTGTATTGATTTTCTAAGGAGCCAGAGTCCAGCCCAGTGTGGTTAAGTGACCTCTTTCTTGCAAACTGGAGAGAAAGGTCTCCATGGAATAAATTCCACTGCACAAGAAAATAAATGCAGCGTGGCTGCTTAAGAAAGAATTTTGTTAGAACATTTGTAAGGATCTTTGAATAAGCATTCAGAGCTTATTTCAGAAATCTGTCTAAGCAGGATCACAATCAAATAACAATGAAAAATAGAGGTCAAAGTGTAAACAGAGTCATGTCTAAAGCATTTCATTCCCTTTCTTGCCCCCTCCCACCATTCTTTCTATACATTAGTAACACATTTCTGGAAACATTGTCCTGACTGACAAGATAGCCCTGGTTTCAAGGGCCCAATTTCCCAATCATTTATTCTTTTATCTGGATCTGTTTTCCTCATCTTTCCCTTCTTTAGTTAAAACACCTTTCTCCTTAACAGTCTCCTTTGCAAGAAGCAACATTGTCATCTGACCTTGAGGAATATCAGGTTTACAATGGTGTAAGCCACAAGAATATTCAACCTAAACTGCCAGAATTGAAACTGCTGACAACTCTATCTGCAGGCAGTCACTTAAACGTAGTACTGTGTATTTTTCTCATCCATGAGATCATGCTATGTCCAGAAAAAGCACCAGCTGCCCATAGTTGAAGTTTGTTATAAATGAGATAGTCTGACACAAACTGATAAAGTACCCAAGTGTTTTCAAGCTCTGGTCCCCCAAAAAGGTTTGCCTGCAAATGACTAATATCGTGGGATACGTTTAACAGCATAAAGCTCCAGCTCCACAATCTCCTTAAAAACAATATTAAATAATTTTTAAAAGGACATTAGTCCTACTTAGTCACATTAAAAGAAATCATCTCAAGAACAAAAATTGCCCTAAACAAGTAGTCAAAACCCATGTGTTCATTTAAAACAGCTAAATACAATTGCATTTAATGAAATGTCGTCATGATAAGATTTTTATCTCCATTAGGACCACCACGGTGAAGAAGGTATGAGTTCAAGTGTCAGACCTTAGAACGTCACGAGTTTGGTATGCTTTATTTGCATTCAGGTTTAGGGAGACCTCTCCCCCATCCAGCCATCTGACAGTGTTATTTTCTCACAGCACTTATTTACACAGCAAACATAATTGCTACAAATTGTACGTTTTACACTCAAACTTCACAAGTGAAAATTAGAAGATGGGTGCTGCAGATCTTTGCTCACAGTCACTGTGTGAGTTCACTGTGTGAATTCAAAGCGGTCGCACTCCCAGTTCACTCTTACTCTTCCTGCAAAAGCTTGGTGAGCCCAGTGTTGAAAGGCTGGAGTCCCACGAAGGCCACTCTGAGGAAGCTTCTTTGTATAATTTCATCTGCATTCACAGTCGCATCACTAATGTGATCAATCTCTATCCTTTATGCCCCTTTGATCAAGGAGCTTGACTGGCTCGGGACTTAACCTAGTGAAGAATCAGTACCTGGTACTATTTAACACAGAGCACAAGTCCACACTATAAAATTGCTGGCAAAATAGAAATAGCATTTTGCAGCATTTTGTGCTATGTAGTGAGCCTCTTAGTCAAAGACATTATAGTTATTTTTTGGCTCTGGGATAACACAGCCATGAGAAGCATCAAGAAAGCAGTATGGCATCAGTTCCAAGGCATAAAACATTCTAGGCTTGAAGTTATACAATTTATATTGGATCAATATATTAAGCTCTATGCATTTCAGGCAGAATTATCTGCATGAGCATAGCGTTAGTAATAATGGTGTTAGTGGTGTACAGCACCCAGGATTGAGAGCGTGTTCTGTCAGGAACCATACAGACTCAGAACAAGAGACAGCCCATGTGATACAGATACGTGGTTTGACACAGTAAATCAGAATGGGACTGCTACAGTAGACAAACAAGTCATATGTTTCAGCTGGTGGATAAAGATGCAAAATTCAGGAAAAAAAAAAGTGTTCAGATTAGCTTTTATAAAAAAGCTGAGGAAAAATACTTTCTGCTTGTTTTTCAGCATGAGCATGTTCCTGTGGTTTGGATATCTAATCAGAAAAGAATCTTGTGGGGAGGAGGAACGAGCTCTCCCGTACACATTTTAAGGAAAGCCTAGCTTTGCAAACTCATCATAAAAAGTATGCATAGGTTTTACAACACACTGTGCTCCCTTCTGTTTGAATTGATCCTGTGATATCTCTGGTACAGATACTCTCTTCTCTTGCAGGGCAACAGATCTAGACTGCTGAGGCTTAAAAGGCCAGTCAACAAAACAGTGAGCAAAAACTGACTCGAAGCTTGCAATAGCAGATTAGTCTTCAAGTTAAACTGCTGACTTAGAACCTGGCGCGATGTAGATATACAAGGAACGTGTTTGAGCAGGTACGCACACACACCTTCATTCATTTCAGGCCCCAATTAGACACCAGTTCAGGACTTGTTTTTGACTGCCCAGGCAAAGGGAGCTGCTGTACCCATGTCCATTTCAAATAGCCAGAGGATACATGAAACTACAAGTCAGAAATAATGATGTGAAGAAGCACCTTTCTTCTTGTCATAACACCAGTAAAATCAGAGCTCTGTACGAGCAGGAGCCATGCCATGGCATCAGGTGGATCT